AAGACACAATTCTATCCGTTTCAAAAGTAAGCAATGAACAGCTGAATTGAAATCCTAATACTGTACTACAAAAACATGAATTTAAAATAAGAAATTTTGTAACTATACCTCTATTAATTATAATCTCTTATAATATAAAATTAGTTAGTCTCACCATTATGACTATTAAGAGATTTTACCTCTCTCTCTCTCTCTCTCCTCTCTCCTCTCTCTCTCTCTCTCTCTCTCTCTCTCTCTATATAATATTATATATATTATATATATAATATATATTAATATATATAAAATATTATGCTTAGATGGTGTTGATGATATTATACTCTAGGTGGAGTTTAGATGAGGGTGTTTTGAATGTAAATAGAGGTAGAAATCACTATCAGGTTGTACTGCAGGTCTTGTTGACTCTACTCATTTAGCTATTGTCATGGAATATGCGGCTGGTAGCGAACTCTGCCAGAATATGCAGTGTTGGTCGGGTAGTGAAGATGAGGTTGTATTATGGAGCTTGCTTCTTTAAATTACTTTTAGGTCACTTATCTCTGGTTTAATGTGAATTGTTGTGATGCAAATTGATTTTCTTAATGATTTGTTTGTAAGCAAAACCCTTTTCACAATAGGCAGGTTTTTCTCCAGCAGCAAATATCTGGCGCCAGCTACTGTCATGCCATGGTATGATGATATCCAAAATTTAATTTACATCTTATGTTTGATCTCTAATTATTATATACATTTCTTTCACTACAGGAAATTTGTCTCCGGGATTTGAAGTTGGAAAACACACTATTGGATGGAAGTCCAACACCAAGTGTTAAAAAATATGTGACTTTGGTTACTCTTAAGGTTTATGTTTTTAGTTGAATAGCAGCTTTGTTGACCTGATAAAGGCACATAACTCTGCTGCTTTCTTACAACTCTTACCTTTTTTTTTCCCCGAAAGAAAAAAACTCAGTACTAAGGGGTGTAAGTAAACAAGAAGAAGAGGAAAAGGTGACTAAATTACCAGAATCACATAACTGACCAACAGAAGCAAGATTTAATGTAAGTTTTGGAATATGATAAACATTAGAGAGAGACAAGTGAGGTGTGACAACAGAACCAACACCTGCTAAAGGCATAGGAGTGCCATCAGCAGTCATGACAGGAATAGAAGACGAAGGGGACACAGAAGCAAAAGATGAAGAATCTGGAGACATATGATGTGAAGCACCAGAATCCAAAACTCATACAGAATGTGACATACCTGAAGAACTATGAGGTAACTGACCTACGGAAGAAGAAGCAGAAATAGCTTGTAGATGTAAGGAGAGAAACTTATGAAATTGCTCAGCCAGAGTACTAGGATCGGTGAAAGGACCTGATGAAACTACTGTTGCAGTATTAGACTGTGGTGGTTTGTAACCCTGAGGTAGTCTATGAGCATTAGATTGTGACTGGTTGCTAGGCTTCCAAGCTTGAGATTGCTGCTGCGATTTATTCTCTTGCCTCAACTTAGGACACTAAGCCTTCCAATGACCTTTTTGCTTACAAAAACTGCACTCATCAAAGGCAACCCTTGTGTAAGGTTTATTCTGATTATTAAAGACTGGCTTCAAAGGTACTGCTAACACAGAAGGATTAAAAGTAGAAGCAGAAAGAATTCCCTTTTCAGAATGAGACTTAAGACGTATTTCTTCAGCCAATAACTCACTGACAACTGAGTCAACAGAAGGCATTGGAGAACAATGCAAAATTGAACCGTTGCTGCTCTCTATGAGCAATATAGGCACCACATGCCTTTAATTCTGCAGATTCTGTAAGAGCCAATTGATCCCAAAGATCTGTCATAGCAGAATAAAACTCATGAACACTCATATTCTTCTACTGAAAAGCTCGTATGTCATTCTCCAATTGATACTGCTTTGCAAAATTTGACTAAGTAAATAACCTTTGTAGATGATCCCAAACCTCCTTTGCTGTCTCATACTTCGCTAACTATGTACCTATAGAATGCCCAATAGAATTGTTAATCCAAGTAATAATTTTTGCATTGTTTGCTTCCCAGGCATCTATCAAAGCATCATAACCCTCATCAATATTCTTAGGTTTCACTGAAGTTCCACTAATATATCCCCACATCTTTTTACCCTTAAGAAAATTTCTCATCACATAACTCCAATACGAATAATTCTTGTCATCTAACCTCACACTTACAGACTGAAGCGAATCGTCTCTTTCAGTAGCCATATTCAAAAAACAAAGAAAACCAGAATGCAAAAGAAAGGAAAATGAAATACCAGATTGCCGAAATTGAACGAATACCAACGAAATATCAGATTGCAGAAACTGAACGAATACCCTCTCCAAAAATTAAGCCAAGTCCCATGAAACGTTGCTCTGATACCATGTTAAACAATCCAAAGAAATAATAAAAAACAGGAGGCTAGGGTTTCATTGATACTGCATAATTCAGTTGAATACAAAAAATATGATTTAACCTAAATACAAAGATATATATAGGCTAAACAAAAGAAATAATGAAAAGACAAATCTACCCTTAATTAATAATAAAACAAAATAACTCATATTTCTTAACAAAACAAACTTCGGTGGGGCGTCTCCGTATGATAGTTGCAGTTGAGAGAAATGCTTTTGTGTGAAAGAGTGATAAGATAATAAAAGAATTGCTCCTTGATCTTGGCAAAAGAATCACTTGAAATTGCTTATTTGTGATATTTTTTTTCTCTCGTCTTAATTTTTCAATGTTTCTGTTTAGTTATATTATGCTTATTGACGATCAATTGTCAATAGTGATTATTTTTTCTGCACACATGTTTACATTTACACGGTTTCCTCTCCTGACGGATCTGATTTTCATTTACATGACCAGCATATTCTCTTATGTACTAGTTTTATGCAATAAAATGCTAAATCTAAGCAATGCCTAATAGTAATACATCTTGTTTCAATTAGTTTTTACTAATTTTATAACAATAATTTTTTATGACAGATTTTATTTAAAAAGTCTATATTACCTTTGTTGTCTTATTCTTATGTTGTTAGGAATGAATAAAATATTTAAAAAAAAAAAAAAAAGTAAAAAGTTGAATGTTTTAAATTTTTTTGTATTGTTTACTCGGAGTTTAGCTTTGATGATTTTTCATATTTATAATTGTGATGAGTGATATAGTTAGATGATGTTTGATAGTTTTACAATTATGAAATTAAGCAGGTTTTATAATGGGCTAAACATTTTTTGTATTATATTTGGATATCAACCATTACTCTTATGAAAAGATTTTTTTTCTTTTTTTTTTTTCTTTTTTTTAAGATGTATGGTATATTTTTTACTTTTTTTTTTTTAAATATTTTATTCATTTCTAATAACATGTTAATAGACAATTTGTGTACTTATAGACCGTTTATTAAAAAGTTTCACCTAACTGACTAAATTGTTTGTTTCCCATGGTAATGGAGCTAAGAAATATGGGATTATTACTTAAACCCCTAATTTAGTCAAAAAATGAAAGAATAAAATTATATGTACTAACTAATGTGTACTAATCCAAATACTAAAATTAGAAATTTTAAAATTTTAAATTCTGTCCAAAAAAAAATTTCAAATTTCCAATGTTAATACTTGGATTAGTACACATTGGTTAGTGTACATAATATTACTCAAAATGAAAACACCCTCAAGTACCAAGAATTATGCAAAACCCCCCGCTGCCTATCAAATGTCAAAAACAGGTAGGGGCAAAACTATCACAATAGTTTCTTTTTAAATTAAATAATTAATAAAGATCCAAAAATGTTAAAATATAATATAAAAAATATTTCGTTAAAAAAAAAAAAAAAACCTTAATCTAACTGTAAACATGCCATTTTCCACCGCAACCAAAAGCTAGCAATCCCCTCCACTCAGGTTTGGGGTTCAAGTTTTGGGTTTAGGTGGTGGTGGGCATTAAGGTCATTTTACCCATATTCTTTTGAAACTAATGAAAGTGACAAACAATCGAGGGTTTTTTTTATAATTCCTGGTATTTGAGGGGTTTTACATATTTGACCATATCTCAGAGGTTTAAATAATACTTAAGAAATATACTCCAAACCATAATTATGTACTCCAAACTTTGAGGACGAAAATACAAATAACCCCCACAAACTATATATGGCTCCATTTGGTTGGTTTTTAGGAATACTATTATTAGTATTCCCAAAAAGGTTAAACAGTAAAATACCAAAAACTCAAAATATTATTTAACTTTTTTTAAACCCCTTAAATTTATTAATTAATTAAATACCCCTAAATATTTTTTAAAAATTACAAAAACACCCCAACAATCCACATTTATTAGATTCCGGCCACCACTGTCGAAAAATGGTCGAAATCTGGTAGGATGGCGCACTACCGGCTGAATCTGGCCGGTAGTGCGCCGATCTAGCCTTTTCCGACCAGATCCATGTGGATCTGGCTGAAAAAGGCCAGATCTTTGCCCGTAACCAATCAGGAACGATGACCAACAAACGGTTGTCGTTGACCATCAACGACGACCGTTTGTTGGCCGTCGTTGATGAGCAAATACGGCCAGATCTACTGTGGATCTAGCCGGAAAAGGCCATATCGACGCACGACCGGCAAAATCCAGTCGGTCATGAGTCGATACGACGACTCTGGCTACCCTCTAACGGTGGTGGCGGCCTGCTGTCCGTATTTGAGGGTGGGTTGGAGGTGTTTTTGTTAACTTTTAATATTTTATTATAGGGATGTTTTTGTAAATAAACAAACATAGAGAGTATTTTATTAGTTTGTAAATCTTACATCGTAATACCTATCAAATTCAATTTTTTTTAATTTTTTTCAGAAAACTTTTCCCAAAAACGCAAAAATGTGTACCAAACGGAGCCATGATTTCTGTTCAGTATCTTAACTTGGACCGAGGGTTGTTATAAGTGGGGCTTCGACTCTGATCAATGGGCCCTAATTAGAGCCTAATTTGTGGCCCAACTGCAATGCCCTTCTCTTCCTCGTCCCACTCTCACAAAAACAAATAAAAAGCTTCCAACTTTCTCACTGGAAAACAAATCAAATCGCATAATCAATCTCGGTTCAAGAAGCTTACAGTTGATTGAGCATCTGGGCATCTCAGTGAAACGAAATTGAAGCATAAAAATGGCAGAAGTAGTTAAAAAATTCTTCATTGCATCGATGTTCATGTGGATATCTCCTCTCGCGATCTTATTTGGTTTTAGTCATAATTTACTTCCTGGTAACATCATCTCATCTAATTATCTTCTTTTATATTATGTTTTTTGAATTTTGTAGGAATAATTTTGGTGATTTAGATCGCACTTTGCAAGCTCTGTTTTTCTAATTTGTTTATGGTTTTTTACTCTTAGTTAAGATCTTGCTCTGAAAATTTATTATAAAAATCGTCTGGGTATAGCTTAAAATCTATTTTCTTTTTATATGGGGAATTAGATTGATTAACATCCAAATTGATCAACTTGTTTGGGGAGTCTCCGAAACTTAACACCAATTTAAGGAATGGGATTTTGATATAGCTCTATTCATTCAGCTAATTAGTTGAGGCATTAGATTTTCTTGGAACCGTTAGATAGTGATTATAAATCTTTAAATCTAATGTTTTGGCTGTTTAATGAATTGCTTTATTAAGTATCTGAAAGTTTGGTGGCAGTAAGGTTGAAATCTTTGAGCCATGTTTGAGGAAGACTATTACCAGGGTGATATCTTTTTGATGCAAAGCCTATAGGCAATTTGACAATAATTCTTACCGTGAGGTTAATGCTTGTATTGCAGATTGCTGTTCTCTTCATTCTCGATTTGCTTCTTTATGTCGAGATATAGTGATTGATAGGAAGAGAAATTTTGTTGCCATGAAATTTCGGGATAGGTGATTAGGACCAGCTTCAGTCTTTTTGTTCTGTATTTTTTAGTAATTGGTATTGTTCTATGTGAGCTTGTAGAGGAAGTAATGGATAAACTTATCTCTGATAAATAAGATTTTAACAACATGGTTCTTTTTACATAAACTTAAATGCCATTTCCTGGTTTGAGTGTATGATACAGTCTATATTGAGGGACAATGTCAAGCCATCAATGTGCAGAAAAAGTACTTAAGATTTCTTCTGTAAGTCTATTAGTTTTCTTCGCCTCCCGTATGTAAATATGTATGATCCTATATATTTTTATTTATTACAGATATCTGTGAGTTATACATCTTAATGGAATTAAGAGATACTGCGTAGAAAACTGAAGCAAGGAAAGAAAGGCGGAGAAATGGAAAACCAAAAGAATGTAATCACTGCTGTTTACACTTGATCTGATTCTATCATAATTTTCTCTCTGTGTGTGTGAGCCATGCTAAGTTTTTATGTTGTGATAAGATCTGTCTAAGAATGTTGCTAAGTTTCTTCATAAAATACTTGCTTGCTGAAGCATCATTCGTTTCTGCAGGTTCAGCCCATTTGTCTCCTTACAGTTACAGCATGACACTGTTGAGTGGATTAATTACTTGCTGTTATATCGGTCAATATTTTTATTGCGTTCTATATTTATTTGGCAATTAAGGAACCCTTGGGCAAACACAAACCAGATCCTGCATTTCTCGCCAAGGCCAAAGCTAGACTAAAAAGGAATTTTCATCAAGAGGTGATCTAATTGTACAAGATCAAACCAACACAACAAGAGCAACAATGCATAGTAATTGTGAGATGGAAACCGAGTTTAGCATCACCTTTATCATTTCACGTTTATCTACATTGGCATTCATAATCATATGTTCTTGACTGTCTTGCTATTATCCTTTTAGTGCTCTACAAGTGTCGCTCTACGTAGAGAACGATGATGCCATCTAGCATAAGCTAGACTATCACTCAATAATGAATTCGTTCATTGGAAACTTTTCCGGGTGATTAAGGTTTGTGGTTATAGCGAAATTAGAAGGGAGAAAGTTGAGTTTATGAAGAAATGTAGACAAAAAATAGACTAGGGGATTTACTTTGGGTTGAGTAAGATATTAAATATGAATTTAACAGACGTTATGTTTTAATCAAGGATATAATTAAAAAAAAAAAAAATTAAAGAATACAAAGGAAATAAAAAAAAAAAGAATACAAAAAATTGAGTGTTACTCAAGTTGCAGGTCCACTCAACGATCCGAATTGTATCACCTGGCTAAACTTGGTGGACTGAAGTAAAAATTTGTTTTTGATTGCTACACTGTATCATTCCAAACACAAGGATAGCGCGGATTATTTAAAGGTTTTTAAGCTTGACGAAGGGAGATCTAAGTGTGAAATTCGGGCTCATCTCTGCACTAATAAGTAGACGGTTGCCAAATGCCAATGCATTTCAATTTAGGTAAGTTACTGATCTTCAATTTGGTGACTTTATAAATGGAAGATACCAGACTGATCCTCGTACAATCTGTTGTTGAGAATTGGCCAACAAATAAATCAGAAAACCATTTAACAACAAAGAAAAATAGACCAATTCTTCAAAACATTCTTGCCCTGGTTTTTTTCACCATTACTTGATGCATATAACAAGTCCATATTTAAGCCAAAATGATGATTGGTGCATTGGACACCAGTTATTATATTAGTTTGCATTGTAACAAGTCAATATTAATTTTTTCTTCCTCTGTTTTTTACTCTGAAATTCTCCTGTTTCTCATGCTTCAGCGCCAGACCATTGTTGTTCGTCACCGATGTTAGGACTAAAGGCTGGTCGGCTAGTTAAATGGCATCTCGTCCCAACTGGTTACCATGTCGCTGACTCTCAATTCCAACGACTCTGCTAGTTTTTACTTTTTTTTTTTTTTTTTTTTTTTTTTGACTTGATTATCGGTTTATGAGTTTTTATGTCTTTTAATTTTATGTAATCTTTAGTAAGTTGTGAAAAAAAGACTTCCAAATTGATAATATATCAAATCTTTTGTAATGTTACGTTATTGGAGATGGTGATTTCATCTGAGGATAGAGTGAGTAAAGCGTACCTTAACTTATATACGGATGGATGTTCATATTCTGAGTGATAGTTTCGGAAATTTTAGAGATAGTTTATGAAATTCATATAACTTAATAATAGAGAGCAATTAGAATTCTTAATTTTAGTGTTTAATGACTTCTTTAATTATTTTAGATATATAGATTTATGTTTATTTGGGTTGGTGGGTTTTGGGAAATTTTGAATGATTTGACTTTGGAAAATGCCTTTCATTTTTCATCTCACTTTCTCGGAAAATTTGTTGGAAAGTAAAAGAAAAAAGAAAATTGATTTGAGATTGACTTGAGTCAATGCTGCAGGTGGCTGAATGATTACAAGTTTAGTGCTTCCCTTTATTACTTTAATCATATCATTCCTCTAATTACTTTATCAACAAAATAAAATATTATTTATTACTCATAGATTGAGTTTATATTCACAAACAAATGGAATATTTAGATTTCGAGGGCAATTAGACGATTATTGATCATTATTTCATATTTTTCAGTTTCAAATTCAGGACTCGAGAAATAAGTCTAATNTTTTTTGGCAGTGATACTTTTTAATTATTTATTTGTTTTGCCATACAACAGATTAAATACATACTTCACAGATCAGTATAATGATTTCAACATTTATGAAACTAAAAGATATTTTCGATCTTCAACTTACAAATTCCTACACGATAATTACATTGTTGAGTTATTTTAATTTGCAGTTTCCGACTTCTGGATTATTTAAAAAAAAGAAAAAAAGAAAGAAGAGGTACATATATATCACAATATGCATAAACTTGTCAAACTCTTGTGTGAGGAAATCACAACAGATTAGCCTCTTCAATGCTGAAACGACCATTCCTTCTGGCAGCGGAATTCGGGTTTCACGAAGTTGTGAAAGCTATTATAGAATTATTTCCTGATGTAATTTGTTTTTTAGATACAAAGAATCATAATGTATTACAGTTGGCAGTCATGAACCGCCGAGAGAATGTGTTCAAACTTATATTTCAAATAAGCCATCACAAACATTTGTTGTTGATGTCTAAAGACAACTTTGGGAACAATATCTTGCACTTAGCTGGAAAATTGGCACCACAAAAAAGCCTTGATCACATCTGCGGTGCAGCGCTACAGATGCAGTATGAGTTACGTTGGTTTAAGGTGCTAAAACTTTCGAATCTTTTAAACTTTATGTTTGCTGCTGGTTTGGTTAGATCTAACTAGTGCATACCATATCGGAAGTGCACACTTTCATATTTTGTAGTCACAAATTTTTACATATTTCTTAACATCTCCCCTCAAACTCATGATGCGGCGGCTACAAGCATCGAGAGTTTGCCAACTAAAAAACGGAAAACGGGAAATAGAATGCGACTTGGTAAAGAAATCTGCAATCTGCAAAGAAGAAGAAACAAGGGCAAGGTAATGGTGCCATGCTTGAGTGATGACGAGTAAGGTGACAATCGTCTCAAGTGCTTAGTTCGTTCATGAAAAACCGAGTTGTGAGCAATCTGAATAGAACTCTGGTTGTCACAATCATAGGATGGGACAAGAAAAAAGAACGCTCATATCTGCAAGTAACCAACGTAACCAAACAATCTCTTGGTTGTAGATGCCATAGCACGATATTCTGCTTCGGTTGAAGATTGAGAAACAATGGATTGTTCTTGCTCTTCCAAGAAAATAGAGAATCACCCAAAAAGATACAGAAACAGTAACAGACTACGATTCGTGGGATCACTGCCATGATCAGCATCAGAGTATGCACGTAGCTCCAAGGAAGAGGTGGATGGAAGTAAAAGCTCTGAAAGACTGTACCCCGAAGATACCGCAAAATACGAAGAACAACTGCCCAATGAACTGTAGTAGGAGAAGCAACAACATGATTAACAACAGAACAGCATATGCAATATCTGGACGAGTAGTAATAGTGATATATAGTAATACCCCACTTGAATAAGTAGCCACTGTTTACGGTATGGCCTAAAGAATTACTGAATTGCCCCAAATGAGTTTATATATTGATTCATGTTTTGTGTGAGTTTATGTTTTGGGGTTTGGTTGAGTGTTACCCTGGAATTGACCAAGACTTAGCAAATTTTGGAATTTCAGTCTTCGCCGGGCGAGGGAGAAGTTTCGCCGCGGCGACGTTGGTTTTGTGTTGGCAGGTTGGTTTGGAATGTTTCGCCGGGGCGACAGAAAGTTCTTCGCCGTGGCGACGTTGGCAGAAAAGTTCCTTGAGGTTTCTAGAGAATTCTTCTTTTGGGACACAATGACCATTCTACCCCTAATTAGTAGAAAAAGTGGGGAGTAAAATGTAAGGAATTTCATGGAGAGTAATGTTAAATGGGGGTGAGTTTGTAAAGAATTAAAGGATAAGGTGGAATTTTCAAGAAAGAGTAAGGGCAAAATGGGAAAGATGGTATATATGAGTTAATAAGGGTTGAGTTCTCTAAACCCATTCATTCTACCCATTTCCACCGCCTCTTCATCTCCCATTTTCTCTCAATTTCTCACTCAATTTTCAAAGGGATTTTTGAGAGTTTGAGTTGGAATTTGACAAAGAAGTGATCCTAAGCAAGAAAGAGTAAGAATCCCTACTTTAGAGATGAATTTTTTTATGTAAGGGTTATAGTCTTACTAAGTTTATGCTTAGGAAATAAGGGAAAGTTATGATCCAACAAGAGTAGAGAGCTTTAGTGGAGACTACTCAAGTATGAGGTAAGTAAATCCAACTCAAGCTAAAGTTAAGAAATTCTTAAGTAGAGATTTATTTATGCATGTATATATGATGCTTATGGAAATGAGTATTGAGATGATGTTTATTTGAGAAATTGAGTGAGAAGAGTATTATATTATGTTTGTTGAATTTCTTTATGAAAGTGTTTATGAGTAATAGTTGAGAGAGTTGGAGGAGATTGAGTTTGTATTTGGGAGTGTTTTTTATGGTAGGTTTATGCCCATAGAAGGGAATTTACTTCCAATTTTGGATGGTTAAAAAGAGAAGGAGAGTTGTAGTTAATGAAGAGTTTTGTATGCACATAAGTTGTTTGAGGAAATGCCTAAGTAAATCTGCCCTGTCACTGCCGTAACTTTCTGAGTAGTTTTTGAGTATCTTACGGTTTGAACTGGGCTGAGATCAAACAGAGAAGTTGTAGACCTGTTTCTAAGCTTTGAAACGAGACCAGAACCGTAGAAATCAGAGGTGTTAATGAAAGTTATGGTCTTTTTAGTGTGACCTGTGCAGAATGACAGTTCTGAGGAAATCTTGCATTTGGCATTTCAAAGGTGTATATAAGTAGAACCATCCTATGCATAATTTGTGCATTAAGAAGTAGTTTGAGAAAGAATATAGAATGAGTATGAGCTATCTTGTGAGTACTAGTTTAAGAGTAAAGAATTTGAAGATAAGCTATACTATAAGTAATAGTTTGAGTAAGAAAGAGTAGAGAATGTTGAGAATAGCAACCCTTAAGAGTAAAGTGAATGAGAATACTCTAGTAAGGAGAAAAGTTGAGAAAGAGTAAAGAATTACTCTAAGAGTTAAGCTACATTATGATGTAAGCTAGAGAGAATAGAGATCTTGTGCAAAGAGTTAAAGAGGAGAATAGAGTAAGTTGTGCGATGGGGAATGTGAGTGACGAGTAGAGTCACGTAGAGTGGAACACGAGGTTCCAGCCGTGCCTCCGGTTAGATGAGGCCGTGACCGTCACGCAGAGTGGAACATGAGGTTCCAGCCGTGCCTCCGGTCGATGGGGCCGTGACATTCAGAGAGAGAGAGATTGTACACTCACAGGCCAAAGGTTCCGAATCCATGCATAACTACATCGATCGGTAGTGAAATGAGCGGAAGTCACGGAGAGTGGTAGCGCCCAGCGTGCCTCGCGTCAGATGAGGTCGTGACATTCCAATGAGTAAGAATGAGAAAGAACAGAGATGAGACAAGTTAAAAGTTAAACTGTATTATGAGTACTAGCTTGAGAAAGAGATGAGCAAATGAGAAAGAGTAAGAGAGAGATAAGAGC